TGAAAATGACTGAAAACGCTAGTGTGGACACGGAGTTTTCAAATCTATCCGGGCTAGTGTGGACGTAGCCTGAGACGTTCTGCAGTCTGTTTTTACCTGATTGGATGGCACCACCAAGTCCCTCTGCAGCCTGACGGGGTCATCCACCTTCTGAATCTTGTAGGTTTGTGTAAAGCCAAACCTCTTCAGATGCAAGATCAGAACTCTGGCAGAAAAGAAAAAAAACACAAACAAGGTAGAAAATAAGAAGAATGAGTGTCAAACACAAACAGAAGATGGGAGAAAACGACTGCTCAAATATTGTCTCGAAAAACTCTGATATTTGATGCACCACAGTTTGGAAACCTGGTCAGTCGATCAATTCTGATGTGACCTTACTCACCTTGGCAGTGTATCAAAAGACGACTTCAGTTCTGAGGCCGTCCCTCCACAATCACAGCGATATTCTATTTCTTCTTCCTGAACAACAGCACAGAGAAAACAGGCTTTATGGTAGAAAGAAATCTCAACATATGCACACACACGCATACACACAAACACTAACAAAAAAGGTGTGTTAAGATCGCTGATACGACAACTCTATTGGAATTTGTGATCTTACCTTCAAGTATGTCTCTAACATGTTTATCACAGACCCCTCTGGAACCAGGTCAAGAGACAAACTGGTGAATTCCTCTTGCTGTGATGAGTGGTGACCGCAGCTACACATTTCAGGAGTAACGTAGTTAAAGTAAAGATCAGGTACGTGGAAAAGAGGTATATGAAAATATTGCAACCAGCTCTGCGTTTCTGAAAGACAGGCTTACCTCTTGCATGTCCTTATGTTCTCCATTTTAAAAATGTGATGGTCTTCTACTGGGCAGGTATAACTTTGGCCCAGGAGAGCTGCGTTCCTCTCCAGGCGAGGTGTGAGCCTTTTGACCTCATTGAGGAACAATGTTAGGAATTCATGAGCGTCCTGAAAGAAAAGCAGAGAGATTTAAAACAGTACATCAAAATCAGAAGGTAAAGCAAAAAACGAAATGTCCAAATAGCTGACGCACTTTCTGTGCACTGCCGGTGTATTCGGCAGCTTGATTGCTGAATGCCTTCTTAAAAGCTCTTAGGTAGTGATCTTTAAGGCCATAATCTGTCGACTCATGACAGTCCCTGACATCAATAAGCCTTCTGTAGAAAGGAAGGGTAAACAGACATTTCTGCTGTTAGATCTCTTTGTTCTTCAGGTGTTTGAAGAAAGTAGAAGGTTGACGTAGCGCACCTTAAGAGCTGAGCTTCTGGATCTGTGCTCCACAAAACCCCCTGACGCCTGATGTCTCTTATGAACTCCTCAATGTTGAGGAGGCTCTGCAGGCAGGAGTTCATGTAGCAGGTGTTTCCGATGTTTGGAAACCTGACAAACGCGCAACGTTTACAGTATCAGTGTAAAATAATTCATTTTCTCCACTTTGACAAAGTGACCTTTGATCTTTGTGCACCACGTGTACTCACCCGAAGCGGTCTATAGTCCCAGTTTGACTTTTTATTTTTTTCCCACCGCGTGCTACACTGCTCCAAAAAGGTAAAAACACAAACACAAAATTAGGAAAGATGTCAAGATTCTGAGCAGTGTATGTGCATGTATGCATGAGCTTTGACGCTGAAACATTTTGGAGGACGTCCAAAAGTAGTAAAAAAGATGTAAATACACAAGGTGGAAGACAAATGCCAATAAAAGGGAAATAAAACAGCTCCAACTAAACCACTGCTATAAATATCTCCAGCAGCATTAAAGAGTGGCGCATTTCTTTACCTCTGATGAGACGTAGAAGGAATTTCCTTCTCTGCCACATTTTGTTTGTGTAATTTCTGTTTAGAAACAAGAAAAGCAACATCAGTAATGGCATAAAACAAACATACCAAGGGAGTCTCTCCATGAAAAGTGTCCAGTTAGAAAATTTGGTATTATTTCATATTATTTATCACTTTAGTGAGCTGTCAGCTCATGAAGCAGATATATAGGAATATCTTTAAATAAAATAAAAACAATTTATTCATGCTTTAAATTGAGTTTTAAAGTTTGTCCTATGAAATACAAAATCCTTCATTTGGTTGTGATCAAAATTCAGTTTTTACAGAAATCATCCATGAAGCTTCATTAAAAGATTCAAAAATGCTTATTTACCATAAAAAATATTTAGAGAAACATCCTGCAAGTCCCTTCAAACTTACCTTTCTGTGAAAAAAAAACCGTTTAAACATCTTTGAACTTAATTTGAGGACATAGATGTGCTAAATTGCTCTTAATTCTTCTCATTTAACTGTGATGAGTAAATGCTTGATGACAGGGACTCTTTCCATAAAACATACCTTCCAGAATTTAAAAAGAAACCAGCGACACTTCTTTTGTGTCTTCGCAGTGCTGCTCTCTGCCTCTGCATCGCTGTCAGTTTGCTGCAGAGGACGAACAAACATAAGTTTATTAAAAAAGTAAAGTCACTTTAAATTAACAAGTGCAATTTAAAGAGAAAGTGCATTTCATATGTTTTGAGTAAAAGCAAACCGAGGAACAGCAGAAGTGTCTCCATTTTCTCTTCTTCTTTTGACCATTTTCAGCAACAGAAGCATCCGGGATGCTGATGAGGACAAAAGTGTAAATGTTATTTTTCAAAGTGGAAAATTTTAACAAGGAGTACATGCTGGAGATTGCAGATAAAAATTAATAACTGTAATGGAACAAAATCATGTATTTTGTACATTTACACTCTACATTTTCAAACGCTAATCTCTGAATCAATATAAATTATAGACAAGACTAGAAGTAGTAAAAGATGTAAATACAAAACACCAATAAAAGGGAAATAAAACAGCTCCAACTAAACCACTGCTATAAATATCTCCAGCAGCATTAAAGAGTGACACATTTCTTTACCTCTGATGAGACGTAGAAGGACTTTCCGTCTCTGCCACGTTTTGTTTGTGTGATTTCTGTTTAGAAACAAGAAAACCAACATCAGTAATGGCATAAAACAAAGTATATGGTAAGAAAATACAATATCCTTCATTTGGATTCAAAATTCAGTTTTTACAGAAATCATCCAAGAAGCTTCCTTAAAAGTTTCAAAAATGCTTATTTACCATAAGAAAATATTCAGAGAAATGTGCTGCGAGTCTCTTCAAACTTACCTTTCTGTGAAAAAGAAGTTTAAACATCTTTGGACTTGATGTGATCGCAGCGAAAATCTCCTCAGCTTTGCAAAAGTTCAACTGAAAACAAGCAGTCAGAGGTTGTATATTTATAAACTTTCAGCATAGAATGTTCATACCCTGAACAGCAAACATCAGCATTATGATGTATGGGGCTAATTTGCATATTTTGGAATGTATGCTCATTTGAACTGTATGGCACTCGTCTCCAAGCAACTGCTACAAAATACAGGTCAAGTCAAGTGGCTTTTATTGTCATTTTAACCACGTGCAGAGGTACTGTACAGAGTGAAATGAGACAGCGTTCCTCCGAGACCCTGGTGCTATATATGACATATACGGACAAACCCAGGACTACATAAAGTGCAGTGTGCATAAATTGCAAAAATAAACAAGACAAAACAGTGCAAAACTAGACAGAACAGGACGATACAGACACAAGACAATGGAAATGTGCAAAATGCTGAGTATTGTGCAAAAGTAACTAACGTGTGTGAAGGTGTGCGTGTGCCAGTGCAGTCACTGAGTGTTCAGGGGTCTGACGGCTTGTGGGAAGAAACTTTTCCGTAGTTTGGTAGTGAGGGCCCGGATGTTCTGGGACCTCTTTCCAGAAGGCAGCAGGGTGAAGAGTGTGTTTGAAGGCTGTGTGGGGTCCTCCAGCGAGCGGGTGTTATAAGGAGGGGAGAGGGACTCCAATAATCTTCTCAGCTGCTCTCACAATCCGTTATAGAGTACTGCGATCTAATGCGCTGCAGTTACCATACCAGACAGTGATGCAGCTACTTAGGATGCTCTTGTTAGTCCCACTGTAAAAGGTGGTGAGAATGGATGGTGGGAGATGGGCTTTCCTCAGCTTCTGCTTGAAGTAGAGACGCTGCTGGGCCTTCTTGGTTATGGAGCTGATGTTGAGGGAGCAGGAGAGGTTCTCCGCCAGGTGTACACCAAGAAATCTGGTGCTCTTGACGACCTCCACAGAGGATCCATTCATGTTAAGTGGGCAGTGATCCCACTGTGCTCTGCTGAAGTCAACAATCTCTTTTGTTTTGTCCACGTTCAGAGACAGGTTGTTGACTCTACACCTCTACAGATGGCCCGCAGTGCAACCCTTCAGCTTCCTAGTCCTATATACAAATTTAAAGACCTAGGAGACTTACTTCTCGTCACACAGTTGTAGCATTCACAAGATTTTCAGAAAACTTGAACTCAAGGTCAAGGTCACTGATATTCAAACTGACCCCAGAACTTTAGTAGATGCACCAATGGTATCAATTCAAAATCCTACGCTTCTCGTTCTTGAATTATTGTCTTGACCAAGCTGAGTATACAATTATGAACCAATCATTTTCCATTTTTATTTCACTATCTGTAACTAAGACAAATAAACAGTATTTGGGACACAAGTCACTATTAAAGTGGTTAGTGAGACTCCACATCTGATAACAGTATAACACACTGCTTATTTATGTAAAATTGTCACTGAAGGGTGCCATTGCTACCATGCAGTGTTTAAAATAATCCACTGTCCCAGTTTGTGCTCAGTGTGCATGAAATGCTTTACACCAAACTCCACTCAAAAAATTTGCCAATTTAAATACGTATCATTAGCAAGCAAGCAACCACACTATAAGTGCCCACTGTTAATTCAACAAGCTGTTAATATTAGATCCATTTCAGACAGTGGCAGTAATATTTTACACTGGGCAGCAAATCAGCACAGCAGGATCTTTCAGAGTGAGACAGAAACTCTGTGTCCTATTTTTTGTTACTTTTTAATAGCTCTTGCACAGCCACTGTTAATGTGATACCTTTGCACCAGATACCCTCCCATGCACCCATCAGTAAAGACTTCTTTTCTAAAGTATGAAGTACTCAGATACACCTTTCTGTACTCCTTACAGGACAATAAACCACTGATAAAAATTTCTGTAGTTAAAAAGGGATATTTGACATGAGAACACTCAACCGTTGGAGGTTGTGTGAGGCCTGGAAGGTGGGACTGCTGGAAAATTAAAACGTTACGGCTTGAGTTCCACAAAGCTCAAGGTAAATAAAATACCTTTACAAATTTCTTCCATATTCTTAAAAAATTCTGATAATTTCTTTAATATCTTTTAAAAATTCTGATTGTAGCAGCCAAAAAGGAAATCACAAGGTATTGGCTCTTTCCCGGGCCGCTCAGGATATCAGAGTAGAAAAATATTGTGAATAAGATTTATGTGATGGAATCTACAGTTTACAGTTTCAGTACGACTTAAGTGTGCTTTTGTCAAATTATAGAGCAGATTTATTAAGCTCCCTGCGACCCTGGAAAGGATAAGCAGAAGCGAATGGATGGATGGATTTATCAAGCTTCTGCCGCCAGACTTTCCTGAAGTCTCTTCGGTTTAGAAATTTAGATTAAAATACTCTTAGAACTGCATATCTCTAAAAGTAAAATACAAAAAGAAACCCCCAAAACACTTTTGATGAGTTTAGAAAAACAACAGAACTACAGCTGGATATTTGAATTATTTTAAATTATAATACCAAGAAAATCACAACTAAATTAAAGGCTTGAGCAATGTGTGATGTGGTTAACTGTTGTTGTGGAAGTTTTCCATTTAAATAAAGCCTGCAGACGAGCGGTGAGCGGTAGCTAACAGTCTTTAATCAAAACACACAAAGAACAGACAACCAGGCTTGGTGGAGAGCCTACATGACCGTGGGGCAGGTCAGCAGAGTCTCCCCTGAGTCTAACATGGCTCTCAGTTAAATACCTTCTCCAGGAACAAAAGGCAGTACACAGCTGTTTCACACCTTAACCTCCTAGGACCTGGTGTCCACATATGTGGACTTCCCATTTTGGGTTATTTAGACTAAAATACTCAATTTTGCTCTACAAGGGCCTGATATCCACTGATGAGGACATTATACTGCTACTGTTCTATCAAAATTTTAAACGAATATCCTTATATGTGGCTCTGATTTTTCATAAAAACAAAAATAAGGTAAAAAAAAATCTGGTAATTCTTTGTTTTTACATTCATTGGGCCCCAATATGCCCAAATATCAAAGAGAAATTAAAAATACATGCTGTGGAAGAGTTCGGGTCTTACGAGGTTAAGGTTCACACTCCCTTGCTACCTACCAGAGTCCTCAAAGAGACAAAAGTTTCTTCCTGTGGAGCTGTCTGCTTCCCCCAACTTCCTTACTACACCCCCACCATTTGTCTTATAGTATGAGTGTGAAACATGTTAAAATCCAGTGTCACCAAGGCATTATACAATAAAATAATGTGATTAATACATAAGTAAAAGAAATTCCTATACACTGTCAACTGTGATTGGTGTGTGCGAGTGTATTATGCTCAAGGAGCTTTTAACTGCACAAATGAGCAGATTTGTGAAGTTTAGCTTCAAAATGTGTTTTTATATGTTCATTATGATTTTGAAATATGCACTTGTAAATAGCTTTCTGTATGTTTACATTTCTGTGTGTTTGTGTGGAGCAGGGATTTGTGAGCACTCAAAATTCACACAGTGCACACATTTGTAAAATCTTTTTTTTTAGATCATTTTGAGATGTATTATTTCCATAAAATATGCAACAGCCCAAAGAGAGTTTTACATGCATGTTTTTTTCTTAAAACCAAAACTCACTGAAGAAAATGAGTCACTAGTCCGTGCTGTTTCTTGATGTACCCGTGATCTTGTGGACTTATGACGGACTTGAGTCGCAGACCAAATATGGTTCAATACAAAATATGCTCAAAGCAAGTGAATACCTTATTTCTAGTGACGACTTGTGTGGACTTAGTACCTTACTTACTACCTTAAAATACGAGTAAACCATTAAACAGGAGTAGCTACATTGTCTCACCTTGTTTTGTTTTTTCTTCTCACATAATAACAAACTGCTTCCACCTAAAGTTAAGAAATTAATCTGTGGGTTGGACCATATCAATAAAGCCATTTTTAGTTTCCCATTTACACATTATATATATTTGAATATTTTTAATATGTTATGTTTCATGGGTCATCTTTTTAATTTGCTGGTCTCTCAGAAAGGAAACTGTGTAAATTAAACTTTAAACTGAAGTCTATTTGTCAGCTCATTATTCTTTGTTGCGTTTTTTTTAGGCTTTAATAGTTTTAACACAATTGTTTTTTGTTGTTGTTTTTAATTACAACATAAAGATCAATTTACAAAAGATAAGTACAGTAATGTGGGATCAAATAACAAAATCAGCGTTACGCAAAAATTAAAAACATGTATCTACACTCATCATATAATGTTTTTGGCGCTGTGATGATGGAACAAATAGCCAAAACAAATAAAAAGTAATTTCAATGAAACATTAAGAAAGGCTGACTGGAAATAAACCATAGCTGACTGTAGAGTCCAGGATAAGCAGACAGAAGATCAAGTGACAATCCCAAAAAATTATAAAGAAAAATGAAAAAAGAAACATGTGTACAGGGCTCAGGAGATACAGGAGGGGAAGACATGTGCGAATCATAATTTCACCTAAAATTTCAAACTGTCATATTAACAACTATTATATTAATTATAAAATGTGATTTTCATACAGTCAATTTGCTGTCATGATTTATGTTTCTGTAACTCAAGCTTTCTAATCATCCTGTTTGAATCTATAACTTGGCTTTAGTCTGTGCTGCATCACAACTCAGGTGAGTTTTGAAGAAATCCTGGATCTTCTTCCACAGGTGGATCTCAGCTGCTATGTGGGCCTTGGGCTCACCTCCCCACAGCACTCGTTTGCCTACACCTGCATTGAAGCTGGAGGGGCAGTGGGGTGCATAAGGTGGCTCCAACATGTGTCCAGCTCCAGGGTAAAAAACAGTCTCAAAGTTCTCCTTCCCATGATGCTTAAGTCTCACTACCATTTCATCCATGTAGGCTTCGCTGTCCCAGTTGAGGTCGTCTCCTACAACCGCAAAAAGAAAATGGCTCTTGGCTCGTTCAATGGGGATCAAGCTGCCCTTATTCTTCTCTGCCAGGGGATCTTCAAGAGCATCCTTTATGATGATTGCACCTGACTCGGTGGGAATAAACTTGCTTTCGTCAAACAGTATTGATGACAGGATCTGCCGTTTCTTGTAGTAGAGAGGCGTGACCACATTGGCGTTACAGGCATTCATGCACACTATGGCCTCGACACCTGGCACAAAAGCAGCGAGTGCCAGTCCGATATTTGCTCCCTTGCATCTTGACATTATGCCAACTCCTTTACTGCCCACCTGTGAAATAACACAGAAATTAAAAGGCGATGCAAATCTATAAAACATTTGGAGCGCAGGGCTGACTCTACCTGTCATTATTTTCATTTTTGTGGACTACATATGCATATTACCATTACTAAATAAATAAACACATTCATATATGCACAGTGAAGCTATCATGATCCGGGTGAGTGGCTGGAAACTTCTACCAGGGTCTTGAGTCTCCTTGGTATCTGGCCCTGGGCAGGGCCGTCATATCTCCAACAGCTTCACTCACCTGGAGCTGAGTTGAGGCAATCAGGCTAAAGAGATTTAAGCCTTACACTGATATTCCCTCTCCAACAGTTTGTCAACTACTTCATGTTGGTAGCTGGCTCTAATGCTCCATGTTATTTGCCAAGTGCTTTTCTTACCTTGTTCTCTTGTGCCCTAGCTTTTCCCGGAACCTCCAAAACCCTTACCCCCAAATTAAGCTAATCTCTTGAACCTCGGATAACCCAGCTCTTCTCTGGAAATCTCTCCGTGCTTCACCTGCCTGCCCTCCTGCCATCACACTCCTTCGGAACCTACGGAACTCAGGTCAGCCATCTCACACCGTCTAACTCACGCCCCCTCTCCCTCCAAGCATCTTTCACTCCACCTGCAAGTAAGCAAGACATATAGCCATGCTCACCTTTTCTAGTACTCCCCTTTTACCACAGTTCTAACTCCACGCTCCTCAGTGTGATCGCTCTATGTACCAAGCCATGCTACAGTTACCCCTTCAAGCCCAATTTCCCCCACTTGGCCCCATGACCACGTTATCACGCTACGCAGAGCCGCTGTTACATTCTACAGTCTATTCCTCTTTTGGCAAATCTCTCAAGCTCCTCCAGATTTTATTGGCTTCTAGCATGGACCTTGGTTCACTTCACACTGCAAATTTTTGTTTGTTCTCGTGATTGTCCTTTTTGAGACTACAATTCTAGATTCTAGTGTCTTGGCAGTAGTACTGGGGTCTTTAGACACATCTATCACTAGTTTTCTTTCTAGAGTGTTTGAAATCTTTTGCTTCCTACCCTGCCAAGCTTGTTCTGTACTGTATGACTCTCTTGGCTGAATTTCTTAACTTTGCATATTGAAACTTGGAAATGCTGTGATAACTTTGTATATCTATTTCTTGCTTAGAGATCTTCAACATTTCTTATTCTATAAAATTATAAAAGGATTTCTTCTGTTTTTGGGGTGATGCGTTCTCAAGTGACAGCTCAAACATTGCACAGCAGTAGCTTCTACTATCAATAAAAAGGTCAATTTTTCAGGGGGCTGATAATGTTGATCTTGAAAATTATTATATGTTAGAAATTATTATGTTATTGTGTGATAATAGAAACAATTCATGTTTTCTCAAGAAGATTTGTGCGATTACAAAAAATATGTCGTAAAGCTGAGGCTTTATGCTCTCTGAAATTTATTCAATTATCTGAATGAATGTAAATGAGAGTATTTCTGAAACTCCACTTAAGCTAATTAAGATCCCCATTAGCTACAGGAATACAGCAGATATTCCACCTGGGATCTACAAATTTACTCTCCTCTCTGAGAATGCACAGAGTATAGAAACATAAACTTTCCTTCAGTATGAAACATCTTTCTGCTGTCTGTGCGCACTAGAGCAACTCACCTTTGGTTGCTGTTTTAAGAAATTCATTGCTTCTTCAAAGTGGTCCAGATGTGTCTCTGTGATATTGTCACCCTTCTTATTGTACACCGCCACTGAGAGAACCACAAAGCCTTTGTTAGCCAGTAGACTGGGTCTTGCCTCAGAAACTGAGGTGGGCAAATCCAACACAACAGGAAAAGGACCTTTTCCTGGAAGAAAGAAAAAAGATTCTAATCAGCAGCAAGTCATATTTTAAATTTTATTCTTAATTTCTCTGGAAGCCAGTGAAGGGACGCAAGAATAGGTGTAATATGTGACAGTCAGCTATTTTTTGTTAGCAGTCTTTCAAACAAAGGTCTTGCTGCATTCTGTACTAACTGGACATGAGTTGTGGAGGACTGAGAAACGCACCTGAAATGTGAACTACAGTAAGCAAGGTGGGAGAAAATTAAAATTTGAACTAGAAGTTTCAGATGACTGAATGACAGTTAAAGTTTAATTTCAACAATGTTGATTTAAAAGCTGGTTAATGTTAAATGAACTAAAATGAACATAGAAACCTAGGAACCACCTCCAGTACCTGGAGGAGTGAAAAGGACTCCACGGATGTTCCCTTCATTGACGGGAACCCTGGTGACCCCATCTCTCATCAGAAGCCTCTCATTCATCATCTCTGCCAGTAATCTGCCCTCCTCCTCATGCACAGAAAACTTCACCACCTGGGGGTTTATGGCATTTGTCTTTAGATATATTTTGTGCATGGTATGTGGCCTCATGGAACACAGCAGACCCATGGGTTCTACTCCAACGTAGCTCCCACCTAGCGAGGGGTCTCTTTTCAGGTCGACCTCCCCACTGCCATCAGCCCTGTAGGTGGCCGAGGAGCTGAACACCACTCCCTTGTCATCAGTTAATTTGGCTCTCATGTTGACAACCTGCCTTGGCCTCAGCCCGGCCACCTTCACCTGAATGGGCTCATCAAACATACATTTGATGCTTGGCAGCAGCTTCAGTCTCACTTGAGAGGACATCTTTTCTGAAAAAGAGAAAAAGATTGGACTTTATGAATGTAAGATAAAAAGTCCCCTTACACAATACTTTTTCTAAGAAGATTCAGAGACAGATTGATTCATATTACATTACAGTATGTTTATTAATTACACCAACAACCCACTGTCCCAGTTTGGTCTCTGAGTGCAGGAAACCCAAATCCAAACTCCACTCAAAAAATGTGCCAGTTTAAATATGTATCATTAGCAAGCAACCACATTACAAGTGCCCACTGTACTCTCTGTCAATAATGTTAATACTAGATCCATTTCAGACAGTGGCAGTAATATTTTACACTGGGCAGCAAATCAGCACAGCAGGATCTTCCAGAGCGAGACAGAAACTCTGACTATTTTTTGTTAATATTTAACAGCTCTTGCACAGCCACTGTTAGTGTGATACCTTTGCACCAGATACCCTCCCATGCACCCATCAGTAAAGACTTCTTTCTAGTTAAGTAAATGGTTTGCATGGATTTCCATTAAAGGTTTTTTTTATGTTCAGTACAATTATTCAGTCACTCGTTGCACTTCAGGCAGTTTTGATTCCCGTTTTCATGATCACACAGCCACTTCAAAAGGTAAACACCAACTTCAAAGTGATATTTCTCTTCCATTGTTTACAATTAAACTTTTAAAAACAAAAAATTTGAATAGATGTTGATTAGGACAAAAGGTCCCAAATCCATGCCATCAATGCATAGTCACAATTAATTAAAAGTTAATAAGACTTGCAAGGTGGTAACACAAGCTGACTGGAAATAACAGAGGCACAAAGAGTCCAGGATAATCAGGAAAAAGTGATCCAGTGATACAGTCCTGCCTGGCAGGATGATGTGTTCACAGAATTTGATATATATTCTGTCATGCAATCAGTTAAACCAGGGATAGGCAACTCCAGGCCTCGAGTGCCAGTGTCCTGCAGGGTTTAGATCTCACCCTGGGTCTCGCACCTGAATCAAATGATTAGTTCATTACCAGTCTTCTGGAGAATGTCAAGACACGTTTAGGAGATAATTTAGCAATTTGAATGAGCTAAAACCTGCAGGACACCGGCACTTGAGGCCTGGAGTTGCCTACCCCTGGGTTAAACTGTTATTGATTTCTCAATGTTGTTCACAAATTACATTCTCTATACCCTCAAAGCAGTCCTGCAGCTTTGAGGGTATTCACAAGACCGCCTTGTGAATATGGGTCTTTTAACAAGAGGAATATATCTCCACGTTGGGTGAGTGTTGAGTAATTACATATGAGAGCATGAGGGTGGGAATGGATGTTTGTATCTGGTCGGGTATCAGACGCCACCTCTCTGGGGGCATCTCGGGCCCTCCAAGGTATGGAGGCCTATCTCCCCCCACCACTTCCCCTGCCAGTGACAGACGCCCTCAGACATCGGTGCGTTGGTGGTTCTTTGTGTCCGGGGATGGGCGCCCAGGTACACACCGACTCACTCCTTGGTGGCTGCTTGTCGGGGCCTGGAGCCTGGGGCTCGCTCGGACCACTTCGGGGGTGGGGTGCCCTCAGCCTCTCGGCCTGGGGCTCGGTCACTCAGGCACAGCTGGCTGCCAGCGGAGCTCACGGGCACGTCACTGCAACTCCCCCTGGCTTCTGCTCCGCGGCTGCTGAGTGACCCCTCATCTGGGACTCTCGTCAGCTCTTTCTGGGATAGTGGCGCGGCTGCCCCTCTGTTGGTCTTCCTTGGTCTCTTGTGTTCTGGGGGCCTCTGGATGTTTGGAGTTTTGATCTCCTCCATACCTGCTTCATGCCCTGGTGGATGGGGCTGTGGCTCCCCACACCCTCTAGCACAGCGGTCCCCAATCCCCGGACCGGTACCGGTCCGTGAGTCGTTTGGTACCGGGCCGCGAGAGTTGAGGCTCAGGTGTGAAATGTATGGTTTTCAGGGTTTTTATCGTTTTTCAGCGTTATTTTGTTATCGTTTTTATCGTTTTTATCGTTAACTCGGTTTTCCTGGGTCTTTTCACGTGTGTTATGAATAAATCTTCTTTTTTTCGGTACCGGTACTAGTTTTATTATGTTGTATTTATCCGCAACACCTTAAAGGTCCGTGAAAATGTTTTTGGGCATAAACCGGTTCGTGGGGCAAAAAAGGTTGGGGACCGCTGCTCTAGCAGATCATTACATGAAGGAACCTTTTAAAAACAAGCGCGTTCATGCTTACAGGTGTACACACGGGTGCTCACACACACAAACTACACCCTTTTTGGCTCCTACCTCAAAGCACACTGTGCGCTGTTGATCTTACGTGCTGCACAATAATGTTTAATATTTAGTATTTACCGTTATATTCCCATAGATCATCGTGATGTTGTTTATTCTATTGCTCTCGTTTTCTTCTGCTTGTTTTCTTTTTTCATTCCCAACAGGTGAAATTAAAAAAAAGTATCTACTGTTATCTATTGTTAGCTAGTTTATTGTGAGGGTGTTGTTTTTAGATTAGATTAGATTAGATTAGATTAGAACTTTATTAATCCCTCGGGTGGGTTCCTCTGGGAAATTCGATTTCCAAAAAAGCACAGCACCGACAGAAGTTACAGAGTTACAGAATATTATATATATATATACACACACACACACACACACACACACATATATAAATACAGAGACAATATAAATAAAATATACGAAGGGGATAAATAGAATAAATAGGAATAAAAAATAAAAATACAAGTGAATTGCACATTTCAAGTATTGAGGTCTATTGCACTGTTGACTATTTACAAAAGTATTGCACAAAAGGTATTGCACAGTGAGGTGCAGAGGCACTACAGCTTAGTTGTTCCCCCCTCCTTTGTCCTCCTGTTTCCCCTCCCTCTCCCCTCCAGAGAGGAGTTAAACAGTTTGATGGCGTGTGGGACAAAGGAGTTTTTAAGTCTGTTAGTTCTTGTCTTGGGGAGAAGCAACCTGTCACTGAACAGACTCTTCTGGTTGTTAATGGCCGTGTGCAGAGGATGCCTGGCATTGTCCATAATGTCCATCAGTTTCTTTAATGTCCTTTTCTCTGCCACTGTCACCAGAGTGTCCAGCTTCATGCCGACCACAGAGCTAGCCCTCCTGATCAGTTTCTCCAGCCTGGATGAGCCTGGATTTCTCCAGCCTGGATTTATTATGTTGCTCTTTGGTTTTTTTTCTTCCCCCCTTTCTCACCATCTCTTCTCCCCTCTATTTTTCTTTCTTTCTCACCCTCTCTTTCTTTAACCCTGTCCTATCCCCCAGTCATGTCTGTCCCATCTTTAAAAAATGAAAATAAAATAAATACATAATTATAATAAAGGTCAGTTAAATGGACCAATATGGCAAAGCCACGATGATCCACTTGGTAAAGTAAATCCACTTGGCATCTTTCTTGGCCTTCAGACAACAATTCTGATGGCTAAAAATCCAAACGGGACAGGCAAAAATAAATAAAATAAAATAAAATAAAATAAAATAATATATATATATATATATATGACCTCAATACGTAAATTATCACTGTACTGTAACATGTACAGTACTTGCAAAATAGTTTTCCATATGTTTACATTGCTGTGTATCTATGTGGACTGGAGCACGTATTTGTGAGCACTCAAAATTAACTCAGTCCGCACATTTGTATATCGTAGATTATTTTCAACCTTTCGAGACAAATGTATCTCCATATATGTGCAACAGCCGAGAGTTTTACAAGGATGTTTTTTTTTTTCTTAAAACCAAAACTCACCGAAGCGAATGAGTCTGGTGGTTGGTTTTGTTTCTCGAAGTACCCGTGATCACGCGGACTTAAGACAGACTTGAGTCGCAGCCCAAATATGTTTTAAATTCAAAATACGCTCAAAGTACGCTTCTGGTGACGACTTGTTTGGACTTTGCCTTAGCCAAGTATCCCAGAATGCATTTCAAACGAAATTCAGAACTGGAAGTAAAGTTCTGAAAAAGCACTGTTTCTAGTGCATAAAATAGTGCGACGATTTCGGCGAGAATGTAGCAACATTAAATATCACCAAATTATCAAAATATTACCTATTTGCAAAAGTTAAGCACAAGATATATAATTTTTTAGGATATATTATATATATATATATAATGGGTGACGTTTGCTTTTCTGCAGTGGTTTATTCTTGAGAAAATCGGTTTTGCAGAGTTTAAAGTCAGCCTGCAAAAAGTGTCTGATTTTATTTCACTTTAATGTGTTGACATCGGTGTTTTTACCCACCACAGTCGAGCCAGCCGCCGCTTGTTAACCGCTTAAACGTTCGTGCGCTTCTACACTGAGTTTTAGGGTAGTATGTAACATGTCGATCTGTTCCTGGATATCCTGAAAGCCGATGTCAAATCAGCTCCAGAAATGATCATATTATATTTCAGCTGTTTTCAAAACAAACGGTCTGTAGGTAAGTTTGTAGATTATTTTAGAATGCAGAAAACAGGTCATTTTAACATCTGACCTGATTGTTTTTGTTGAGTTAGCAGCATGATCCTTGAATACATGTACAAGAGTAACATAATATTTTTTAATATTATAGTTCATACAGCACACACATGTTACTGAAAGGTTACAAGTCTGTTGATTGTTCAGTCATTGACTAATCAGTCACCACACTGAAGTTCTTAACAACTGATTTGTTAAGAAGTCAGTCCACCGTTTGCTCCAGTCTTTCCAGAGTGCTTCACACTGATGGTCCCTTTAAAGTCGAGCATTGTGCAAGAATGAACTTTGCATGCCCTGGACTTTCAAACTATAGTCGGGTTCCTGATAAGTGGATACAAACAACTCAAAACGGTGAACTGTAATTGTCGCTTAACAGTAAAACTGGGTTGCAGTGTTTGTGAATGCAGCTTTATTGAAACTGTAAATGATGTCTGACAGAGGGCGCTCGAATAGAAGGTGTGAGAAGTTATTATAGAATATTACTGCTTACCTGTACTAAAAGAATGGAGCCGGTATATTTCGCTCTCAGATTGCTGCTTTACTTGAGGTTCATAGGATATTTAAAAGTAGAAGGCAACACTGGTTGGTGATGGAGATTGTTGGTCAGACCTAGAAACTGTATGTGTGTTACAGAGCTTTTTCTGGCTTTTCTTTTATTCTTGCAGAGGATGTTGTGCTTATTTTACCACTAGTTGACCTTTTAATGATGGAAGGCTTACCAGCCACATTTGAAACACTGTCCTCTGGATTAACACCATCATCAACACCAATATTTTAAATGCAAATGTTCGCAACCAGATAACCATTCACTCACTTCATAAATAAACTCATCATAACACATTGTTTTTGCTTTAAACCATGTTTCATGCTTTTCATTTTCATCATCTGGTAACACACAGATCAAAGAACCATGAATAGTTCTTGCTTCATTACACAAAGCAACAGAATCATTAGTTGAGGCTTGAACCATATAGATATAGATACTATTATCTATATCTAGTGATGTACTTACAATATAGATATTATTTTCATATACTCTCTTGTAGATGATTAGCTTTATTTAATTTAGCTTTTCTATCACATTGCAGTCTGTCCAGTTTCTCTGCAAGTGCTTTAGCAGTTATTTTCTGCGGGTCGCTTGGCTCGATAGTTCAAACGTTTGAATTTGGATATGGTAAGGATTTGTAGAAGAACAGGATGTGCCTTTGGTTTTCGGTTAAACATTTGCAACTCTGGTATAGATAAATGTGATATATTAACCTTGACACACTCCAATCCTTGCTATCCAAAAAGACTGTGTGGAAGAAAAAAATACAAATGAAAATTTCCCTTTAACGTTTTGTTTTAATGTTCAGTTTCATGCAGTTTGGTAATTTTAATTTCTCTTACCAAAACCATGATAATTTCATTTTCTATTCTAGATTTTCTAGTGCTGTCAGCGTTAGTCTCGTTAAAATCACGTTAACGCCATAACCGCATTAACTCGGCAAATCTCCGTTAGCGAGTTAATGCGGGTCGCCCGCTGCATGGGGCTGCATGGCGTCAACGCGTTACCGCAGTTAGCTCGGCCCAATAGATTTCATCTCATGATCTTACGTGATGTTACTAAATTACCAAGCCTTAAACTTGTAAATTCTAGATGGATGGATTTAAATTAAAGGTTTTTTATGTTTAATACAATTATTCCCTGGATTAGACAGTTTAATTCTTCTTTCTAGCTGTTTCAAAGCATGAACAACTACTTAAATGTTCAAGTTTCCACTTCATGTTAACGCTTAAATATTCTTTTACTCTCATTAAACCTAAATACATTCCTATAGAATGACAAGATCAGGAGAGATGACCGAAACCAAGGACATGAATGTACAGACAAAAGGAATCAAAAAAGGAATCCCCTCTCTCATGATACGTGAACAAGACCCTGAGATACATAAACTCTTTCACCTGGGTCAGCAACTCATCCCTAACTCGGAGTGGGTGCTCCACTTTTTTCCAGCTGAGGAACATGGCCTCAGACTTGGGGGTGCTGATTCTCATAAAAATCCTCCCTAGGGGTCCTCCCACCAAAGACTGCCTCAGTGCCCAGACTCATATACCTCATCCCCAGACTCTATTTCCTCTACAGAAGAAGTGTTAGTGTGATTGAGGAGGTCCTTGACGTATAAACTGACAACGGTCTCTAGTCTTGTCAGCCAAGGATCTTTATGGTCATGGTCGGCCTCCAGATCTGCTCTGTCTTTCTTTGCCAGCCTCCTGGTCAGCCCTCTTAACTGCTGTGTCTCTGCCGCTAGCCTCCTGAACTCTCACTTCTTTGTTTTGGATTTTTTTTTCTTAAATATGGTCCTTCTTTCCCTGTCAGTACTCTTACTGGAGCATTTTGGGTCACCTGAAGGTGTTTCAGGGAATTTTTACGACAGCCTGATAATAATGAATTACAGTAGTTCTGCCTAGAAGTAATAATGCATAAACTAGTTTTTCAACATCACTCTTAAACAGGATGTTTCTAATTTGAGAGATTTTGCGCAAATGAAAGAAAGCAGTCCTACATATTTGTAGTCAGAAGAGAGTCAGACACACGAAAAAAGCTCTAGTCAGAAATGCATAAGAACAGGGGTCTCAAACTCAATTTAGCTGAGGGCCGCTGGAGGCAGAGTCTGGGTGAGGCTGGGCCGCATTAGGTTTTCCACAAGAAAGGCATGGTTAAAAAATTCCAATCTTCGCAAATCTCTTTATTTTTTTTTTTAACACAAAATATGAAAAATAAATAAGCAAATTAAGAATTAATAAGAAAATTAATCAATCTGTAATACATAAATAAAACAATAATAAGATATTTTTAGTCAGTGAACTTGTGTTTTTTTCAGTCTTCTATATCTGCTGTATTTAGATTGAAATGTCTGTATTAACAGTTCTATAACCTTCTTCTGAACATGAATGGAACACTGTAGAAAATGAACTGTTCTTCTGAACATGGCTTCTCTTGCCTACTCCTTGCTGCTAGAGACCTGGCAGGGTTTCCTCTCGCATAGCCGAGCCAGATTTGGCCTGAGGGAGGAAGCAGTTGCGACCCTCAGTATGTCTTGAAGATGATCATCCGTAAGTCTGGACCTGTACTTGGACTTATTGAAGTTCAAAGTGGAGAAGAGCTTTTCGCACAAGTATGTGCTACCAAAAAGGCACATGGTCCGCTTGAACATTCGGGAAAGCCGAGGGAAACTAGGGCTCAATTCTCTCAAAAATTGTCCAAGCTTTTCTGCTTTTCCACTCACCTCCCTGAACTTCGCTTTGAGTTCAGAGTTGCACTGCAGCTCAATGAGCTCCAATTGAAGCACAGAAGGGGCATCTTGCACATCAAAGGAGAAGAGGTCCGCAAAAATTTGAAAGGTGGCTCTGTGTGTCTTGAAGTCAGCAAATCTGTGATCAAATTCCTCCTGTAGCCTCAAAATGACATCAACATACTTGTCAGCACTGAATGGTGTGCCTGCATCCACGAGTGCCTTGCATGCTGGGAAATGGCAAAGGTTTGTCTGAGAGAGCTGAGCTTTCCAGAGCGCAAGTTTTGTGGAGAATGCTCTCACGTTGTCATAGGCAGCACTGACAAGTTGCCCCTGGCCTTGTAACTTCTTGTTCAGTACATTAAGCTCATGTGTTATATCAACAAGAAAAGCTAAGTCCATGAGGCATTTGGGATCAGTTAGCACAGGAACACTAACTCCATCCTTCTCCATGAAGACTTTCACTTCTGTTCTCAACTCAAAAAATCTCTTTAATACATTTCCCCTGCTGAGCCAACATACCTCAGTGAAGTAGAGCACATCCCCATATTCTGACTCCATTTCCTCTAAAAAAGCATGGAACCTTCGGTGCTTTAAGCCCCTGGATCTGATTTGGTTGATGCATTTCACAACAATAGACATCACATTGTCAAACTTCAGGCATTTGCTGCAAAGGACCTGCTGATGGATAATGCAGTGCAGAGCAATGGCCTCCTCCGCGCCTTCCTCTTCCAGTTTTTTTTGAACAAGTGCCACCAGTCCATTTTTCCTACCTGTCATTGATGGCGCTCCATCTGTTGTTATTCCAACAAACCTCTTCCATGGCAAACCAACATTCTCAATGGCATCACACAGCTTGTGAAATATCTCCTGAGTGGTGGTCTGGCCATGCATTGGAATTACTGTGAGCAGCTTCTCCATCGCTTCAAAACTGTCATCAACACCACGGACATACATTGCGAGCTGGGCAGTGTCGGTGATGTCTGTTGTCTCATCAAGAGCGACTGAGTATACACTGAAACATTTGGCTTTCTCACACAGTTGGTCATAAATGTCACTTGACAGGTCAGAAATGCGATCTGCTACGGTGCTGGCAGAAAGGCTGATGTTGCTAAACTGACCTTTCTTTTCCAGATAGACTATATTTGCAGCCTGCACTTTTTGACAAATTCACCTTCTGTGAATGGCTTTCCTGCTTTAGCAATCATCTCACTAACCACCTTGCTAGCTTCGACTGCTGCATTATTCTCTTTGGTTGCTTTCTTGAAGAAATCTTGCTGCCTCAGTAGATCTGTTTTAAGTCTGGCAACCCGGTTCGCTCTCTCATCTCCCTGGTATTTTGCATACACATCAGCATGTCTAGTTGTGTAATGACGTTTCAAATTGTATTCCTTGTGCACCGCAACTTTCTCTGTGCAAATAAGACACGTCGGGGTGCCCCTGTGCTCAACAAAGAAATATTGCATTTCCTATAAAAATAGATCATTATTTTTTCTAGGTGGGTTGAGAAATGGATTGTTTTAGTGAATTAGCTGTTTAATCCTAATGGGCAGCTTATGTCCTATTCAGAATTCTTAAACACCTATAAATTTCCAGCCACACCCAAAGAATATGCCATATTATTTGATGCAATACCTACGGGTATTATAATGCTTTTTAAAGGTATTCAACCTTGCATATCATCTGTTTCTCTCCCCAACCCTTTAGATTCACACATAGGAAGAATCTGTCTAACAAACCATAGTAAAAGTAATAAGAATATTCGTGCTTTGTTCCAGACAGAATCTCTAACTATTCCACATGTGGTCTCTTACTGGAATTTCTTTGTCAGTGACATTAACTGGAAAAGAGTATGGACAATTCCTAACAAGTATCTGGTAACGAATAAAGTGAAGGAAGTCTCATTTAAAATACTGCATAAATTTTATCCTGCTAATTATATGACAAAGTTCAAAAGGGACATAAATGTGAACTGTGGATTTTGTGGAAGCCATCCTGAGACTGTGCAACACCTCTTCTGGATCTGTTCATACACTAGAACATTTTGGAAAGACTTCAGTAGATTCATTGCTGGACATCTCTATAAAGACTTTACTGTGAAATGGGAAAACGTTGTATTTTGTTTCTTTCGAAGGCAAAAAAAAAGATGTTTACTTTATAATAAACTTGTTAGTTATCTTAGCAAAATTTTATTTTCACAAATGCAAATACAGTAACAAAAAGCCTAATTTTAAACATTACTATAATGATGTTTTATGTTACATAAAATTGATTCGTGGATCACTTGACAAAAAGGCTATGAAAACTATTACTATTTGTAGTAATTACAAATTATTTGAATTACACCCCCTGGCATATGTTAATTTTGTTCTGGTTGTATACATGTTCTGTATATTGTTTCTTAATAAAGTTTAATAAATAATAATAATGTCGGATTGAAGTTTCAATCAAGCATTTAGCCGACGGACGGAGAACGTCTCAACGCATAGAGAACGTCATTTCCCCCTTCTTCTTCTTGCAACCGTAGCACGGCGATCGGAAGATAAAAAGCCGGTAGCAGTCTCCTTTGTTTTTACGCTCGATGTTCATGTCTTTCACGATGACACGAACACCGTGGCATTTGCAGATGGTAGAAAGTACAGGGAGCGCAAAAAAGGCGACTGCTCACGGACTGTTAACCGCCGGGCTGTTGTTATAGGAAAAGAAGCGGAAATGACACCGTAACATATAACAAATAACATCACCTGTTTCTGATGTTAGTTGTTTTGACTGCTTTTACATATTGAAATATATGTAATGTTCATGTATGCTGCAATGCAAACGGAGTGATGCAAATAAAAAACATCGACCGACAAATTACGGTGCGACTCTATAATTAGTCCGGGTTACCGGGGACTGTTATTGCCGATGAACAGGTGTCGCTATGTGACTGCAGACTAAATTGGGCTGCATTGAGTTCATCACTTTTCTTTTATCCCGCCACCTACGCATCACTTTGAGAGTTAATATGAGATCTCTCTCTGTGAAAAAAATAACTAAAAATCCCACTGACGTGTGTATAAATCTATATACGTATAATGTCCCGCGGCAGCAACTTAAAAAAAAAAACTTTTTTTGAAGTGTTGTGAACGCAGCGCGCTGGGGCGAATGTCCGCGTTTGCCCAAAGGAGGAAGCCAGCCAGGTACAGAAAAGAAAGAAACACTCCATACGTCATACATTAAAATACATTATCAAACTCGCGGGTCGCACTAACATTAAATTTTCATATTAAGGTGGGGGCCAAAAACTATCGTCCTGCGGGCCGCGAGTTTGAGACCCCTGGCATAGAGGATTGCACTGTTGTTAAGCGTTGTTTTGGGTGTTCTGCGTGTACACGAATAGCTTTTCATGATGTACTTTCTGGATAGCAGGAATGGTATCTGGAGCAAAGTTCACATAGCAACATTGGCTCCATTAGAGTTAACCTCTAAGTAAAATGGGACGTGCTTGCCACACTGGCAAATACTATTATACTCATTTAGTACAGGTCAAATATTACAGGTCTGCCACTGACTGAAACTGTATTTAAGTTGACATTAAATCCAAAAGGTTAAATTCAAAAGAGAGATTATTAAAAAAAACATATCCAGCAGCTCTGCATTTGTTTGCAACTCAGGTTCTTATTCCAAAGGGATCAGTGGTAACTTTTTGATTTGGTAAGCACTCCAGTCTGTCATGGCTCTCTGCACAAATGTCTTTACAAAGCTTTTCCTAACGGCTTCCTGTTGAAGCCGTTAAATCCAAAAGTCTAGGTGTATTGTTTGGGGAGTGTCTGTGTTTGATAAAACCAGTTTGATCCAGGTGAATTATGGATGAGATGACTTTCTCAATTCTGATTGTTACTGCCTTGGTTATAATTTTCATATCTGTATTAATTAGTGAGAGTGATCAATAACTACATGTGACAGTGGGATCCCTGCAAGGTTTAAGAAGAACTGTGATAGCAGCTGTGTTTAAATCACAGGGAATAATACCAGTTTGTTTTATTCCTTGGATACATTTTAAATATATTGGGCTGAGCATATCCCAGAAAAGCTTATAGAACTCAGCCGGGAAGCCATCCAGCCCTGGCACTATATTGTTTGGTATAAGAAATATTACATGGTTAATTCTTTTTCTGTTAATGGAGCTTCTAGCTCTTATCTGTACATCTGTCAAATGTAGTACATTTATATTATTAATATTAAACGTACTCCTTCAGTTTATAAATATGCTTACGATCCTCAGCCAAAATATCCCTAAATTTTTCTTAACCACTTATCCAATTCACTTAACACTTACCCAATAATTAAGGGGGCTGGAGCCTATCCTGTCCGACATTTAGAGAGAGGCAGGGTACACCCCAGAAAAGCTGCCAGTCAATATTTAATTAGACAAAATAATTCCTGATATTAAAGCACAAAAAGACACAGAATCACATCTACAACCAATTTAGAGCACCATCTATCCC